CCACATCAATCTATAAAAATAACAATGAGAAATGGAAAGATATATTGATTGTAATTCTAATTAATGGAATTACATCCCACATGTTGTGATCTGTACATAAAATACAGAGAGTCGATGGAGAATTTTTGCAATGCTTAACGGTTAACAGATTCTGAAAAAAAATATTTATTTAATGAGTTGTAATTGCCACTAAGACACGTAGATCATGAGATATTAACTTATAATAGTCATCATAATCCTTCATTTTTTATTTCATCTTCTATACTAAAATACGGTCAATAAATATATATATCTTTTGACTCAATATCTTAATTCTATGTATATGCATACTAACTCAAAAACTCTTGAACTGATCCCCTTCAACAATATCGTTGCTAAATCACACTTATGGACGGATGGACGGATGTTTCGTAAAATGGTCATCCGAAATATTAAAAATTACCATGCGATCACATTTGTTTACTACGCATTCCATAAATACCCTTGAATTTGGAGCAAGAGATGTTTAATTTAGTATTTGTAATAAATTAAAAGACTTCAACTTTATTTCCCATGTTTTTAGTTGTTGGGTCAATTGTAAGATGTTGATTTTCCGATGAACCATTTGATCCAAAAAAAATATATATATATATCAAGAGATGTACTCTATAATATGTCTACAACTTCGAAGCATAAACAAGGCATAACTGTATCCATCTCTAACATATGAAAGCATTCCAATATATTTATTGTTTCTACCACACCAAATATTGATAAGTGTAATCATGAATCACACAATTTAATACAATCAGAGAATGCTCACAAGTATAATTGTTACAATAGATTAATCAAGGGTTAATTAGCTCAATATTATGTTGAGTAAAAAATTAGGAAACTTGTCCAGATAAGAATTTAGGTGAGTAGCATAGAAAAAAATAGTTGGACAAATTTATCCCTATTAAATTTAGTAATAATTGCTGGTAAAAAATTTTATACAAATTAATAGTTAATAAAATTTCATAAAAATCGTTTTTACGTTATTTCTGAAAAAGTAGATTTGAAAAAAATTAGGTCAAAAAGTATAACCATTTTCGAAATTACATACTCAACTAATCTCATAACGTAGTTAAATACATCATACTATTTTGTAATTATTTAGAAATACAGTTAACTATTTTCAGAAAACATCACACTAAATTCTATTCATTTCATAACATAGTTAACTACATGCAAATGCTATTTTAATAGTTACTTATTTAAACAAACATAATTAACTACGTTTATAACATAGTTATCTATTACAGTTTGCATAATGAACAAAAAAATAATATATATAGTTACTATTATCAAAAACATAGTTACCTACTATAATAATAAAAAATAACATAGATAGTTAACTATTATCAGAAAATATATATATTATATAACATACATAATTAACTATTATTAGAAATATAGATACATATTATAATTTTAAAAAATAACATACATAGTTAATTATTATTAAAAACATAATTACCTATTATACTGATTTTTTAACATAGTTAACTATGTTGATCCCTGATGGTGATCGATGAGAAGATGGTGGAGAGTTTAACGGACGAGAATAAACACCATTTTAATATATTGGAGATTTCGATATATAGCAAAGAAGTGAGCGGCAACATTGGAAATAA